TGGCGAAATCTCGCACTCAGCTCGGCATCACAATACCAACATCGCTAGAAACATCTTTGCCTGACTTACACTCCCTTACCAACATTAACATCCATAGTATTACGGCTCCAGCCCCCCGGCAGTGACAAAAATGGATTCGAAGCCGGTGACGGAAGCCAAATTCCTCGTGATGGCGGCCAAGGGGCCCAATCCCAAGGTCAAGGAATACAAGAGACGGCGCCACCATAGCAAGAACCGCCTCGGTTGTCTATCCTGCAGGCAGAAGCGCGTCAAGGTCAGTACTGCACCTACACCAGCACCCAGGCAGTACATACCGTAGTACTTTCACATTCAAGTACCTAGGTAACGAACCTACATGTACTAACCTACATACATACATGATGGTATAGTGTGACCAAGGCAAGCCCATATGCGCACGCTGCGGCCGGTCAGGTGCCCCATGTCGGTACGAAACCGCATGCTCCGTCCTTGTGCCCTCCTCCTCCTCTTCCGCCTTGTTGTCCAAGCCCTTGCCCGAATGGTCCACTACTCTCGCAGAGTCCATCCTGCAACCCCGGCTCCTGCGCACCGCCGGCCGCAACACGGCGCGGCAGCTGCCCATCCAAGCCCTTCTCGGCCACGCCACGCAGGGCGACGTCTTCGGCCTGCCACTCACTCCCACCCTCTGGGAGCTCGCATGCCAGCACCCGCACCTCCTCGCCTCCATCCTCGCCGTCTCGGCCTGTCGCCTGCGCATGACCGTCCCGGACGGCCACCCGCACCGCGTGGCCGAGTGCGCGCTCGAGGCGGTCGCCCTGGGCGATTTCCAGCCCGCCCTGGCGGCGCCTCTGACCCAGTCCCGCAGCGATGCCCTGCTGCTCACCTCGATGCTGCTCAACAACCTGGCCTTTTTTGTCTCGGGGTCTGACGAGGGGAGGGGCTACCCCTCGGTTTCTTCTTCCCCTTGGTGTACCAATAACCCCCATAATAACAGCAGCGGCGCCACCGGCCTCGAATGGCTCGCCCTGAGCATGGGTCTGCGACCACTCCTAGCGGCAACACAGGCCTTCCACGGCGCCGACAGCGCGCTGGCGCCCATCTTTGCGGCGTCGGACGACGAGAACAAGACCTTCTCTCGCTCGCACGAGGACCTGGGGGGCGCACCGGCGCACTGGGTCCGGCTTGTCTGCTCTTCCGGGTCAAGCACCACCCTGGGCAGCAAGGAGCGATGCCTGCGTGAACCGCTCGGGACGTTGGCCGCTACGCGCACGCTGCCGCCGGTGGTGGAGAATGGGCTCAAGTATGTGCAGCTTGTGGGGAAGCTGGAGCCGGCGTTTATGGAGATGCTGTGTGACCGCGACGAGAGGGCCATGTGGATGCTAGGCTACTGGCTGGGGCTGATGGGTCAGTTGGGCCCGTGGTGGTCGAGCGGGCGGGTGCGGCGGGATGGTGCCGCCATCCGGACGTTTCTTCTCGAGGCGAAAGGGGTGTGTGGGAGAGGGGGGGAGGAGGGAGAGATGTGGAGGCTGCTGATGCGGGACTATGACTTTGTTTACAGCACTGTTTTGTTATAGGATACTCGGTCGGTGCATGTTGTAATGGTTTGAGCAGCTACTGTGGCATCGACCCCCATCGTTACTGAGAGCAGACTAGAGCTTGAACCATATATATAGCTGAAGGGGACATCAACTGGAAGGGTGGGCTTTTTGCACGGCGCCAACCTCCGGCTGCTGCCCAAGAGCGTTGATACTTACTAGCACGTACCTAGTATCTTGAGCCGATCTCAGCAGCCCTACTCGTACTGATATGAAACTTTGGCCGAGATACTGACAATGTAGTGATAGGTCGACTTGGTGTGATAAAGGAACCCTTGATCAGTCCAACAACCTGAGAAAGCTGAAGGCATCTATACACTAGCAGCCACCATATTCCCATTTATCGCCCGACTATGTTCGCGATTTTCCAGCGTCCAGATAATCCCGTACTTGACTGTCAATGTACACCATGAACCATGGCCACAGCCAGGCCTGTGACATGTTTGTTGTTGTTCAAAGGGTGCGGTTTGTTGTCTTCGAAGCTACCAGTTCTGGACCCTTCTGGGCAGACAGGGAATTTCATGTGCAAATCAACAAACAGATATAACGGCTGCTGCCAGACTCTGCCTGGCATTTTGAGGGGCTCATGCACGTTCAGCAACCCCTGAACCAACACTTCGCCCACAGCCAACCGTTATTTACCCACCCGGGATGTCGGCGCTGCACAACCGAGCATTAAACAGCCCCGCTGTGCCCACATGGCAGGTGAATTTGAGTCACTGGTCCAGCAGCTTTTCGGCAGCTCAAGAGCTGGAGGTTGCGCAGACTGCAGTTATCCCGGTCACCCAGCCACCTGTTTTCCAGCACCTGGCGGTGTAGGCAGCACTGCGTATCAGATGAGGGCTTCCAAGGCATGCTTCTTGACGTCAGGGGAAAAAGGGGGCCGAAGAGGAAAAAGAAGAGTTGCAGCACGCCTGGAGTGGTAGAAAGCGAAAAAGAAACTCTCCCGCCGGGAATTGAACCCGGGTCTCGAGCGTTGTTGGATGACAAGCTCACATACTGACCACTATACTACGGAAGATTGACAGGTGTGGACACCTGCTGTAGCTGCTGGTTGGTTGGAATCGGCCGCCAGACTAGGGTTCTATAAGGTGGCATTTTTGATCTTGGCTTGGTCACTTGAGGCACCTTGGCTCTCTTGGGTTGTTCACCTCACACTTCTAGTTCGCCTTTCAAGTGAATTTCCCGATAGCAAGTGTTGATCAGGCATAAACTCTGCCTTGAGAGGATCAAGATATCTAAATATTTTGAAACTGACTTGATATTCTAGAACTCCGAGGCTCATCGGCTCACCTCTAATAACCCAAGGGAGCGTTAGGGCCTAGGGAGGTCCATGAGAATTTCGAGGTTGACAAGGTCAAATGCTCAAGATTGTGCACCGAGGAGGCATTGCATTCCCCTATCCCTGTAACTACCATGGCCCCCAGATCTTCCAATCTCAGACATGTTGCCGCTAGTAAGCCTCGGATGACGGAATCCTGGCTGTGTCCGTTAAATGCGGTCAATCCCCGAGACATAAACTCGCCTATCTTACTTTGTAGAAAGGTGGCGCTATGACGACGGGCTGAGACACACCGTGCACATCAACGCCTAGCTTGTCGCCATCAGAGCAATGTGCTTGAGCTCACTGCAGCCAGATGTCAGCCAAACCTTCGAATTTTAGAGAAACACGGAAAGGGAACACACCTCTGCACCTGCTCCCCCACCTTCATCGGCGGATACTGCACCTCCTCGCCCTCGTCCTTGCCCAGGTTAAACTGCTGCGCCCTCACACTCCTCGCCTTGTCCGCCAACTCCGGGATCGGCACCAGATCATAGTCGGACGACAGATGCCAAAAGAAGGTCGACGAGATGCGCACCAGCGGACGATCGGGGAAGCGCGCGCGGCGGTCCTCGATGACGGCCACCGTCTTGTCGTTGACGACCACCTCGTGGTAGCCGGCCTTGACGAGCCCGCCCGTGACGTGCTCGAGCTGCTTGCCGGCCTGCACCAGCAGGTAGTTGCCCTGCGGGATCTTGACGGGGATGCGCTTGCCCGTGTTGCGCGCCCAGATGTGCAGGCCCGGGTAGCGCGAGCGGCCGTGGATGGTCAGGAAGTTGAGGTCCGTGTGGAAGCCCGCCAGGATGGTGTCCCTCTGGCCGTACTTGGCGAGGTCGGACGCCGTGGGCGCGAGGAGGTGGGGGCTGGGATGTCAGCATCAGAGGAAGGGGGTTGGATGGGGATAAACATACCCATATCGGCCTGCGTCTTTGAACGTGTCGGCCGGCAGCCCCAGGCCGACGGCAGCCATCTGGGTGAGCCCTTCGACGCTATCGTCTCAATCAGCAACCATCCCTCATGCTCATCACGCAGTCAGCACCCACGCATCCTTCATCGACGTCCCCCACTGGTTCATGACGGGCCCCCAGCGCTCGCGGATGTGCGGCGCCTCGGGCGTGATGTTGGCCGCGTTCAGACCCGGGAACTGCGTCTCGTACGGCGGCGGCTCGACCATGCGCCAGAAGAAGCGGCACTTGGGGTCGGGCGAGTGGGCCGAGATGTCGAGCGGGCGCTCCGAGGGCGCCAGGCGTTCGATGACGTGCAGGCACGGCTCGTCGACGGCGCACTTGGGCTTCTCGGTGTTTTCTAGCGTGACGCCGATCTGGTACGCCAGCTCGGGCCGCTCGTCCTTCCTCAAATCGGCCTCGGGCTGCGCAAAGTAGTCCTCGAGCAGGTCCAGGAAGGTGTCGTTGTCGTGCTCCGACACGCGCGAGTCGTGCAGCACCAGCGCGCCGTACGTGATGAGGGTGTCGGCCGCCCGCGCGCACTCGGCCTGCACCGCGGGGGAGTCGCGGGGTTGGCGCAGGAAGACGTCGAGATCGATGACCGGGAGGTCCATCGAGAGTTCCTGGGCCGTCATTCTGGTGGGTTGAGAATTCAAACGTGGGTCGCAGCGGGAGTGGCCGAAAAGAAGTCAAGAACGATGAAGTATTTCAGTTATGCGATTTGCAGTTGTGAGTTGTGTTCCGGCAGTTCGGTCTAGAAAACTCCAAATTGTTCTTGGCGATGGAGTTCGCTGTGGAAGCCCCCGAAAAAGGAAGGTCTCTCCAAGCCTGCAGCGACGTCGAGCGGCCGCATGCACCCAAAAAGCAGGTCCAGAGCCTGGGCTTGCAGCTCACATGGGGCGGGTCTCCTGACTCCGCCACTGTGGTCCGCTGGTCGCCGATGGCCGACAGCCACCGTTGGGCCCACCACACCGTGACCCATAGACGGGAAGTTGGTATGACGGTGGCGAGGCCGAGAGCAGCCGGGGTTTAGCCAGGTGTTGTGTTGGACTTGGTGAATGGTCAGGGAGAGTTTGGTGATGTCTTCTGTGTTGTCTCTCGACTGGGAAAAAAGGGGTAAGGGGCGCCCATGATTTGGGCAGAGTCCGGAAAAAGAAAGGTCTCTCCCGCCGGGAATTGAACCCGGGTCTCGAGCGATGTCGGGCTATGACAAGCTCACATACTGACCACTATACTACGGAAGACTTGCTGGTGTGTGCACCAGCCGTAGCGGAGTCGCTGTGGGAACTCGGCTCGGCGGATACTCCTATCAACACCGAAACCAAAACCCCGAGCAACCCCTATTAACTTCCTTCAAGTGGCATTTCACATTAAGCATAGGCCATGGTGGATGTTATGTCTGCCTTATCTGCGGTATGCTCAGAGTCTGGAGATCGAGAAGGAGGGCGGGAAGAACTGAGATGGACGCAGACTCGGCCGGACCCCTTTGACGTGTCAGCCCCTGGTTCTAGTACGAAGGGCAAACCTGAATGCAATGCTCCGAGTCCAAGTTCCATGCTGGCCCTTTTGAAGTTGAGTGGCTGAAAGAGAGCCACCTTCATACCTCAATGTCAAAGGAGAACAATCAGCTGTGTAGATCAGAAGTTCGAATACAACCATCCCCTGGCTGAGAGATCTACAAGTAAATGCATATGAACCAGGTGACACATTGAAGTGTTGGAATTCGACTCTTTTCACAACGGCGGTGCGTCCTGTGGTGTATATTTCAGTGCCGTTACAAATTGCCATGTCTTGGGGGACATAAGCGACGGACTCGGTTGGAATCTGTACGATCGAATAAACGCTAGTTTGGCTGTGCGCCGGCAGTAATGGACGGCCCGGTTGCAGCACAATCAGTATGCCGCTTCATGGTTTAAGCTGGGATGGCAGAGTGGAAAGCGCGCGTGCGCCTGTGTCCACGGCTTGGACAATGATTTTGCCTATAAAAGTTCTATGTCTGCTCAGAATAGTCCAGAACTAGTAGCTATAAAGACAAGAAACCGCACCTTCCGAACAACAACGAAGACCAGAACCTATCGTTATTATTAGGAGGGCAAAAACGTGTTTCTAGACCTAGTAGTTCACTCTCTTTTTAAGGCAAGTTACTGACTCAGTATAGCTTAGGTCATATATAAAAATGGTAGGCCTCGTCCTATAGAGCTTCTGATGATACTATTTTCTAACTCCGTTTCCTAACTTTTATTATAGTATGATTCTAATATCGCTATATATGCTAATGCGTTATAAATTTTCTTAGCCAATCAAACGTATTTATAGCCCTGCTTAAGTAGCTGAGTTGCCTAGGTATATAGGGTAAAGAGATAACCCCACTTTTTCTATGCTCAGCGGTAAGAGCTAAGAGGCTGACAGCCGCTTTAGTAACTAGCGCTACGAAAGCGGGGTAGCAATGCCGCTTCCCATTCGTTGTTGCCAAATACACATTTCAGACACACATAGGGCAGTCTGTGGTATAACTTCAAGTGATTGAATTTTCAACTTTATCTACTTACTACCTATTTAGTTCTTTCTATTTCGGCTTAGCTATTATCAACAAGGGGGATTCTAACTATCTAGGTAAAGAGTATCATAGTAGATAGACTTACTAGCTATAGACGAGAGTATAGTAGATTCTTAGGATTATTCTTAATTCAGAGTATTATTATAGGCTTCAGCGAGGAAGCTAAAGAAGGAGGCCTGTATCCTCTCGGACTAGGAAAATAGAATGATCTCAATAAGATAGTAGTTATCAACGCTATTAATGATAAGTATCAGAGTACTCTAGGTAGGGTCGAGCTAGGGAAAATAGCAGAGGACTAGAGTATCCTAGTTAAAAAGAGCTATATAGTAGGTATAGTAGTTAATAGTATACGAGCTAGCCTACTTTATTAAGATAGCTGAGTTACTATCGAAGAATGAATTGTAAGTACTCTTATAGTTATAGACCTGTTTGACAAGGGTAGCCTCTAGCGTAATAGCTATAATAGTCTTAATAGTAGCTTAGAACTCGGCGGGCTTAATTATAGCCTGCTTCTTAAACTTAATAATAGTAAAGGTATAGGTACAGATTAAGTATAGAATTTGCTGTTCTGGCCGCCGAATTTAGCAGGGCAGGGACGCCATTTTCGGGTGTCTTGACAGTACGGGGCGCTTGGTCGCAGCCAAGTATCTATACTTAGTACCTCATCACCTCCAATTCATCGGTAGATCTATAAACCCACCTCACTCCACCCTCCAATAAGTGCCCAGCCCCGGGCGGCAACCTGGCGGAGCTGCCCTCCAATAACCGTCCTAGTCTTAGGCAGTTGGTTCGAGAAAGCATCGACTCCGGAATCCAGGAATCCGTTTTCTTCAACCTGACATCCATTTTCGGCTCCCCAGCAAAGCGGCGTACAGCGGCGCAACTAGGCGTAAAATGACGTCCCTCGCACTTCCCTTCGTTCCCGGTATATCGACCGCCATCGCTAGTGTAACAGGCTGGGCCCTGTTGCCGGCCTCGGACACCCTCGGCCAAGACACAAGACCCGATGCAGCCACTTCGACGCTGCATCCAGAACGC